GCAGCAGCAGCAACAGCAGCAGCTGTAGGAGCAGGTGCAGCAGCAGCAGTAGGAGCGGACGTAGCAGCAGTAGCAGGAATATTTGATGCAGCAGCAGCAGGCGCAGCAGCAGCAGTAGCATCAGCAGCAGTATCAGCAGGTGCTGCAGCATAAGTAGCAGCAGCAAAGCAGCAGCAACAGCAGGAGCAGCAGCAGCAGCAGCAGCAACAACAGCAGCAGCAGCAGCAGCAGCAGCAGCACCTGCAGCTCAAGCAGCCGCCGCACTGCAACTCCTGGGGCGGCTACGCTGCGCATACACTGCGAGAGCCGCTCGGCTGGCATTCCCCCCCTGAAAGATAACCAAAACCCTAAACCCTAAACCCTAAACCCTAAACCCTAGACCCTAAACCCTAAACCCTAGCCCCTGAGAGCAAAACCCTAAACCCTAAACCCTAAACCCTGAAACCTAAGCCATACGCATCAAACCGTAGACCCTAGATATGAACACGCAAAGCTTAACCCTAAACCCTAAACCCTAAACCCTAAACCCTAAAACCCTAAACCCTAAACCCTAGCCAGGATGCACCTCTTGCTGCAGCAGGAGAAATAGAACTGTCTCAGGGTCTCTAGGTGTTCGTCTGTGGAGCCGCAGATCAGCATGTCTGCTGCAGCCTCTGTTGTTGCAGCTGCTGCTGCTGCGCTGCTGCTGCTGCTGCTGCTGCTGCTGCTGGTTTTGCTGCTGTCGCACTGCAGCAGCTGCTGAGCCGCCTCAAACGCCTTCTCCCTCACCATGGGCTCCTCGTCTGCTGCTGCTGCTGCATGCAGCACGAAATCTCTCCACGCGCAGCACATGCTGCTGGTCAAAGCAGCAGCAGCTGCTGCTGTTGCTGCTGCTGTTCCTCCTGCTGCTGCTGCAGCAGAAGCAGCAGCAGGACTCCTATCTGTTTCCTGCAGCTGCACGAGCTGCTGCTGCTGCATCTCCTGCTGTTCACATGGCTGCTCTGTCTGCTGCTCCCCCAGCTGCACCTGCTGCTGCTGCTGCTGTTGCTGCTGCTGTTCCTCCTCCTGTTCTTCGTGCTGTTGTTGCTTCTGCTGCTGCTCCTCTTGCTGCTGCTGCTGCTGCTGCTGCTGCTGCTGCAGCAGCTTATATATAGCAGTGGTAGTGAAGAGGTGCAGCGCAGCAACAGCCTGTCTCCTCACTATAACTGAGCTGTCTCTGCACCTCTCTGCTATCTGTCTCCACCCCAGCAGCCGAAACAAACCCCACCCAGAAACACCTGCAGCAGCACCAATAGGTCTTTCTGCTGCTGCTGCTGCTGCTGCTGCTGCTGCTGCTGCAGGTGCTGCAGCTGCTGCTGACGCCTCCTCAGTTGCTGGCTCAGGAGACCCACTCGCATAAAGAGAGGCATCATATGCATGCAGCTGCTGCAGCAGAGGCAGGTGCAGCAGCAGCAGCGGCAGCAGCTGCTGCAGCGCCAGCAGCGCAGCACGACGCACCACTGTCTTGCTGTGTTCTAAGCAGCAGCCCCTGAGCTCATCCAATACAGAGGGCCGCAGCAGCAGCAGCAGCAGTTGCTGCTGCTGCTGCTGCATCTTTTTTTTCTTCTCATCACGCACTGCTTCTGCTGCTGCTCCTCCTGCATCTCCTGCTGCTGCTGCTGCTGCTGCTGCTGCTGCTGCTGCTGCTGCTGCTGCTGCTGCAGCACGCAGCAGCACGCCACATACAGACGGCAGCGCCTCAATAGCCTTCGCCCTAATTAGCGGCTGTCNGCAGCACGCAGCAGCACGCCACATACAGACGGCAGCGCCTCAATAGCCTTCGCCCTAATTAGCGGCTGTCTATCGGAGAGTGCAGCAGCAAACGGCAGCAGCAGCTGCTGCAGCAGCAGCAGCAGCTCTGTGTCTTGAAACAAAGGCCCCAGCAGAAGCCCATTCATATCCGCTGTCTTGCTGCCATCCCGTACGTTCCGTCTGCTGCTGCTGCTGTTGCTGCTGTTGCTGCTGCTGCTGCTGCTGCTGCTGCTGGCAGCAGACGAGTGCAGCAGCTGCTGCAGCAGCTCCACACCCAGCAGCCGATGGCCCAGACGAGACCCCTGCAGCAGCGGTATCAGCACGAGACGCAGAAACCGCTCCAGCACCCCTTGACGCCGTTGCTGCTGCTGCTGCTGCTGCTGCTGCTTCTGCTCTTGTTCCTGTTGCTGCTGCTCTTGTTCGTGTTGCTGATGGTCTTGTCCCTGCTGCTGCTGCTGCTGCTGCTGTTTCTGCTGCTGTTCAAAATTGTATAAGAGGCTGCTGCTGCCGCCCAGCAGCTGCAGCTGCAGCTCTTCCTGCTGCGTGCAGCATCTAAGGATGAGGAGGCAGGTTGCTGCTGCTGCTGCTGCTGCTGCTGTGCTGCTGGGGAGACACCCGAAGCAAAAGTTTGCGAGAAAGGCAATGATAGGATCAGCAGACAGCTGCCGCTGCTGCTGC